AGCTCGTTTGGTAGGAGTTAAGCAATGTTCACACTTCCAATGCCGAGCGGTCTCATCTACAGATAAGTATATAAGTCTTATCTATAACCTAGGCCCCTTGTGGGTAATTCTTGCTTACGGCAAAGCACATTAGCATTACTGCTAAGGAGGAGGACAAGAGGAGCATTTATAATTATACGTCATATTGCTCTCCATGCTATCTTGTGTTTGTTAATTGTAAAATATTTCATTTATACGTCTCATAACTACGATTAAACGCCATTTTTCCTTCGAGTCATTGATGAATATTTCTTTTCAGAATTCAACTCAGACACTAACATTTAGACCTAGGCATAAATTAGAATTTAAATATGATCTATATGAAGAATTTTTTTTTGAATCGCCCTTCAGAATATTGCAGCAGGAAATATACGCAGGAAGTAAACGTACTTGAAATTTGGAGCATTATCTTTGGCCTTGGACTCAAATAAAACCAAAGGAGGGTTTTCAAACCCAGAATGATTGACAGTGAAAGGGATGACGAAATTTTGTTCATAGATGAAAAGAAAAATATCTAGGTAGCAGACACTGCATTTGGGATATATGTAAATTACAGTGTTAATCTAATGCTAACATGATTATTAACTGTAGAAGCACTTACTGTAAGCAGATTTCAAGATGAAGATTTAAACAGCGGGGATGAAAAAGCAATTGAAAAATTACTTGCTCCTTCTATTTAACTCATCTGTGCTGGTGCAGAAAATTAGAAATTTCTTTATTTGTCACAATGCTACTGAAGAAGCTTTTCATGAAGTTAATTCAATTCATTGTGTTAATTAATTCATTCTAAGGTTCAGAATCAAATGGCATGTCAAAGAGCATAAGAAGAGTTTTTTTTCTCCTTCAAAAAGATTATAGTCTGCAACTATACTAAAATTTTCCAAGCAAAAACAAGGTTATTTATTCAAGATTGGCCAAATGAAATAAAAATATGTTCGTTTTCATTTTTATTTTAAATGTTATATAGCATAGTTGCATAGTAACACATTCGTAAACTCTTACGATTTGAAAAAATGAAGTCTTTCTTAAGATAAAATTTTAACCGAACTAAAAGCGGAATGATAATGCTAACTGTATATAATAGAAATAGCATAATCATAGCAGTAAAATTCTCCAGTTCATATTATATATACATGAGACGTCTTTCTTACTTAGATGTCGTTTTTTAACGGTCCTTTAAACGAGGTATAAATGACGCTTTACTACACATTTTAATTGCTTACAAATCGTATCTACTTTTGTTTACGAATAGTCGTCAGTTCGACTTCAGTTTGCAATTAATAAGGTATTTCCCCCTCCTTCCGGCATGCCGCCTTCGTTGTGTAATGGTTAACACACTCGGTGCGTATTCGAGAGGTGCAAGTTCGAGTTCCGGTGAAGGCATTGCTCATTTTTCATGACTCCTCAAAAATCCTAATGACTCACCCGTGGCGCCCAAACTAAAAAAAAGTTGGTGGATGATGATTCTTCGCCACTAGTATTTGGCGATTGGGTACCCTAATCTCCAGTCGCCCTTTAAAAGGGGGAGTATATAAGGTATTTCTCCCTCCTTGCGACATGCCTTCGTGGTGTAATGATTAGCACACTCGAAACGTATTCGAGAGGTCCAGGTTCAAGTCCCGGCGAGATCACTGCTCATGCTTCATGACTCCTGCTTCAAAAATCCCAATGACTCTACAATTGACACCTAAAAATCCTTATTTTTACTCCTCGATGGAGATGTACTGTTTTCATTTAACATATAAATCATATCTTGGCAAAATAAAATCCGCAGATAAATCATGCCTTGAAAGACGGACGGAGACCGGGAAGAATTTAAAAGCATTTTTCAGTCATGCATTTTTTAAGCGTTGCCTTTCAAGTGTCGAGATATAACACCTTGTAACCCCACGGCTCAACGAACGCCACCTAGCGGCCGCCGGGAAAAACACCGGCCAACAAAGACTATAGCAGTCAGTCGATGTACTGGACTCAAGCCACTAAGTATGGTGTTCCTCGAGATTTACTTTGTAACCTAAATGTGTAATTATAACGCCCTTAATTGTAATGTTTTATCTTAAATGTGTTTTGTTAATTAAAACTATTTAAAAAAAGGCCAAGTGAATCGTTTGTTTATGGTAATTTTGGTTATAACCTGTAATTTATCTTCCACATGCCCTCGCGCGAAACTGATACTCAGAATGTTGGCATTCGGCAAAACTGGGATAAGAGGGTGAAGCATTTGCCTATAGTGAACGGCTAGGAGGGGGGCCAATTTAGCTGCGAAATTTTAGTGTATGAAGAAGCAGTGTTTTATTTACAAATTTAAATCAATAAAAATAGTTATTTTCTTGAGCACTTGCGCTTTCTTTAATCAGTTAAGCAAATCAAATCAACAGCTTAATTACTAACGATGTAATATTTAAAATAGGACAAAATGTTATTATCATATATTTTATGTAATTTTAGATAAATTCGATTTATATATTCATTTAAAGCTGAAAATTATCTAAGTCATCTAATGATAAATCATTGCAATGGCTTGAATCTAATTAGCCTCTTTAAGCAAAGCAATTATGTATGCTTTTGTGGAATTTAACAGAACAAGAAAAGGAAAGATAAATAAAGCTTTGCAATCAGAAACTTTACATATGTATACAGCTACACACTTATTAGAGAATCTAATATCGAATGGCGGCGAATGGTTTGGCTGCATTGGTATTTTCGTAATTTTTCCCTGCATGAAAAAGAAATACGAGCCTGTTTTCCTTCCTGTGTTCCACCACGAAAGCAAATAGCCTCGGCCGTATGCCATACTGAATTAAACAAACATAATAGAAGGATTCACTCTTTCTTTACGGAAAGCGAGAGAAAAGCTTCTTGAGAAATAGGCAAATTTAGCTTTAGAGATGAATATATCAACAAAATATGACGAGGAGCTAAAATGAAACAATATTAAAAATCAACTGATAAAGGAACCAGTTTTTTTTAATAATATATTTTTTTCAGAGTAAAAACGAAAGAAATTATCAGTATTTTAATCTCGACACTATAACTGAGATATCAAAGATTATACGAGATAGTTTCTGAATTCCAGCTTTTATAACTGCTGAAAAATTAATGTAATTGAATTTAGGTATATTATAAAGGTTAGGTTAGGTAAGGCTGAGTTTGGCAAATCACACGAGGACTATCTACCTAAGGAAAGGGACGTATAAGTATTTTAAAACGGACCAGCTCGTAATTTAGCATTTAAACATGAAAATGATGTAAATGCTCCAGATATTCCATCTAAACTAGCAAGTTTTAGAAACTACGCTATTTCAATAATTCTAGTTGCTAAACCAAAATCAGATTTTATATAAATAATCCAGGAACACAGCTGACATTATCTGAATTTAGGAACTGTGTTCAAAATATTTTTAACCTTGGCAATTACTACTGTTAGTGTGAAAAAAGCTTCAGAATACTTAAAATTAAAGAATGAAATGCAAAATTTTCTTTTAATGCAAAAAAATTTCAAATATCACTATATTCTTTAGAGAACATAAATTAAACAATCAAGTAGGTTTTTAAACAATTATTATTGGCTTTACCCTGTTAAAAGAAAAAAAAAATCGTAGTACAGAAAAGGCTTGACTATTAATGCAATACTTTTTTATACTATTATTTCACTATTTATCAAAAAGGTACTTTTTAATATTTTCATTTAAAAATTTAAAATTATTACACGTATTAATTTTCGAAATGCCACCCAGACAGGAAAGTGGTTAGTGACTCTGATTACCGTACCGAAGGGCCCGGGTTCGAATCCCGGAGAAGGCATGGATGTAAATTGTCTGCCGCTTCATAAGAGGCAACGGTATCTTCATAACAAAATGAACACCGCTTCTGGCCTTGCCTGCCATTTAAAAAAAATTCTAAACACATTAAGTTATGATCACAATATTATAAGAGTTACGGTAAGATTTAACTAAACTAACTTTGTTGAATATAAAAGTAAAGAGATACCGTTAATTTGACTGTATATCACTTAATTTACTTCTTAGCCTCAGGTGAAAAAATACTCTGGCACGGCTCTGCCATTCAGCCAAAATATAATCTTTAATTTATTATTCAAATTCTATTAATCTGTTATTGATCAGCTACTTACAAACAATAAATGCACTTCTTAATAATTTAAATATTTAGTGCACGTTTTTAAAATACATTTAATTTACCATACATTCAACTGATAAGTTTTATGAACAATTGAAACTTTGCTTTGATTAATAAAAAGTGTCTATAACGCCGTATGTAGCGCAATTGGTACGACATGAATTTTTACGATGCTTTAAGCTTCTTAAATGAAGAAAACAAGTTTTAAAATGTTTTGTAATTTTCAGCGATAAATACTTTTTTGAAGTGTTAGATTGTAATCTGCAGTTTGCAAATTGTAGATTTTTTTAGTTTACTTTTTTATCGTGCCTTTTAATATGTGAATACATCAAAGCATAAGTCTACCTGCCAAAACAGAAGAATGCCTCCCTTCATGGAGGACTTCCTAAAAGAAACTGGCTTGTATTAATATTACATACGAAGAAAACCACTTAAACACCCATACAGCCAGCCCGTTCCACTGGGGTTCGGATAATCGAATTACCAGTTTTCATCGGGCTTAACCACTCAGCTACTGATAGGTGACGATGGGCCCCTTTCAAATCTTTACTTCCTATCTTATTTACGGATGAAATATAAATTCTCGATGCAGCTGTAGAGACAAAGTGATTTGGAACATTTGGAAGAGTCTTTTAAACTGTTTTATTCTGACAAAAGCGTAACGATATCGAATTGGTCAAATAAAACAATTTAAGATATTCTTAATGTTTAAAGCACATTACAATTAAAAACATAGTACACTATTTAAAAGAAATTGAATTCAATCGAGCAGATAGTTTTTTTAAACGAATATTAATTTAAAATTTGAAAGAATAATTATTTACCTTCAAAAGCCGCTTCTCTCTGTTCCCAGATGGCGCTGCAACCTTTCACGTGTTTCCTTCATTTTTTCCCTACGAGAAACGAAACTTATTAACTTCTGGAAAAGCAGTCTCATCACAGAAAAGTACTACTTCCGTATTTACTATGCATTCAAGACAGTGTCGAAGACGGTCATTCATGCAACTTTACAACAAACACAACGCAACAAATGATGACTAATTGCAAAACATGATAATGAATAAACTTTAGATAGGCACACTTCAGAAAGGGAGATCGAATTATTTTCAGTTCTCCGGTGAAAGGGCTGAGTTTACTCTGGAAAATGTTTTGACAGTGGAAAAACACTTTTCCCCGCTGCTAGATGCGCTCGCCCGCTGGCTAAAATCTGACGTCAGACACAAAGAGAAAACTGAAAATAACCTGTGGTCTCGTTACCTTTTCCCTCCATATTTTCCGAATCTTTTTTTATCGGCGTGGAAATTGACCTATTTGTTGTGTATTAAAGTCCGAAGTGCTTAGACAACACATCAAATTTTGAAAAGTACTCTGAAAACCCAAAAATATTTACAATACATTAGGTAGTAGATTCATAAAACTTATCTTGATTTTTTTTATTATTTATTTTTTTTTTTTTGTATTTTTAAAGCACATTTTCTGTAAAACAAAACAATTCGACAGAAAACCATGTATATTAGTTTAAATGCAGCAACATTAAACGGTTTTATAAAGCGCAAATTTTAAGCACTGATAAATTTATGCAGCAACTTTAAACGGTTTTACATACCGTAAATTTTAAGAAAAATTTTATCAGTACTTAAAATTTCTCAAATTTTGTAGCTTTTGGTAAAACAGGTGGCTAATTAACTGTTAATTAATTAATGGGTATAATCAGGTAATTTTAAGCATAACTGCTTTTAAAAATCTGAAAAATTGCAGTGGTAGAACAAAATTTTTGAGCATATATTTTTATTTTAAGATCTAATTTGTTTTAGTAACGAATCAATAGAAGCGATATATATATAAATGCTTCTGAAAATTTGGTTAAATCATTTCGCTTAGTCAAAAAGTTTCCACCGATATTTTAAATTATACAAATATTTAGATTTCTCTTATGTGTATATTATCATGCTGTGGTGTAGTTAATTCTATAAAAAGACAAAAATGATTTTGTAATGTTCTTGAGAGGCAGTTCTGTCATAATTAACCTAAGCCTTCCTCCTAAAACACTCGTGAGGAGGCTAACTTAATAAGTTTAGGAGCAATATAGCTATAAATTCATCTCATTGTTTTAGTTTACCTGTAGTAGCAATATAGTACGATTAATTAAAAAACAAAATTTCCTCACTTGTATAATTATAAACATATATTTGGCTTAAGGGGGGAATTATACAGATTTTTCATATATCCTATATGCTCAGTTCTTTGTTAGCACATATACAGCAATTCCTAAATTACGAACCTTTCGTTATTCTCCATTTTTTTATACGACATACTATGAGAATTTAATTCATTTAAAAAATTAATACCACGATTCTGTTATTACTGTTCTTATTAGCATTGTATATTACTATTTCTGTATTCTGTGGATACAGAAATTCAAAAATACAGTATTCTGTGGATACAGAAAGTCCTTCACGTGTTTCACCCATTTTATATGTATTTCATTAAAAAAAATGTACTTATTTCAGTCAAGATGTATTGTCCATATAGCTCAGTTCAATGAGTGACTGTTCTAAGAATGACTATGACACTAACTAGCTTTTCTGTAAAGCACCTTGTTGACCTTTGCAAAGTAGATGGTATCATTTCTTTTATATTTATTACAACATATTTCTTTTCCTTTCTGCAACTTAAGACACAATTCATACTGTATTGTGATAAACCTATTATCATTTTCCAATGAAATAATTTTTCTGTTGTAAGTATACAAACGTTAGGTAGAAACAGCAGTAGGTTCAAAAAGATTGGATTCATGCTGTATGTTATGATCGATTACGAACCCGATTTGAGTGGACAGTAATTACGCTTGTCTTGTGGTTCGACAAATATGTAATAAATGTTTTTCTTCACCGGATCCATTTTAGTAATTTACTATCCGATTATTCTACCACCATTCAGTTCCATTTATGTTTAATAGTTAAAACTCTACTGCATTTGAAGTTCTAGGGCATTAAAAAGAATTTTTTCAATAGTAGATAGACGAGGAATCCGAATGGCTAAGAATTCCTGTTATCTTACGCATTCACAATTACGTCTGATTTTGAATGAAGCATTAAAAGGCTATATATTTCAATGTTGGCCTTTGAAAGTGTACATGACCTTAATCCACACCAACTGATTATTTGGACAGCCCATCAAAAGAATCAAATGAGAAATACGAACAAATTATGCTGAAGATTTCAGATGTGCTATCAATAATTATGTTTTTGAAAACTGTTCTCATCTTTCTCTCCACACAAATCAGATATAGTGAGCTTAGCTACTTAAAATCAGAGATAAGAACTAGCTTTTAGTGATTTGAATAGTCATGAATGAATTATGATACCCACATTAAAATTACACTCGGAATTAATATACAGTTAGAAATCATGAATTAATACTGTACTGTATTGAAGACTGAAGGCAAATAGATAAAAAGAAATTTTTTAGAGGCTCCTCTTCCAATTTAGAAACTCTGAATTCAAATTTTATAAATTTCAGCCAGGTCAACAATACTTCTTCACTTTTCAGCGTTGCAGAAAGAAAACTGGCAGAGTACAACACTATAAAACTGACACAGATAAACACTTTTTTATCGTGGACTCTACGAACATATCAGGAATAATGGAAACTTCTATATACATATATAATTTTTTTCAGCGAATTTCTGCATAAACTAGGTCGTCTTAAGTCCGAGGGGCCCAAAACTCAGTATTTCTTCTCATCTCGACCTACATAAAAGGAAGGAAGGCGCTCTGTTGGAATATCCAGTTTGGACTGAAGTGGGTCGAAAGATATTTTTAGATGATGTGCATGGTCATCATCCTCAGACAGAAACTAAACATGATACTTGACGTTGTTTTTCTGTAACGGAAAGTTTACCTAGAGCAGACCATCATATATTAAAAATAATCTTTTCAAGTTCAGAAAAGTGGAACATAACCAAGAATTAAAGGGGGAAATTTAATTATGAAGCAATTCTTGTGTGCAAGTTTCAATTAAACTCCATTTTCTGATTTTTTTTAAATGCGGTTTTAATAAAAAAAATTTCTTTAGTTATAAAATACTTTATTTCGGATAATACTTTATTTTATTTATGTATAATATTCCTTTTTGTAATGCTACCTTCGTAAAAAATTTAAATGTAAGATTTTTATAAAATTTACAAAAATTCTGGGTCTTTATAATTTCATCCTTTGTAAAAAACTTAAATTACTTTTTAAATTCTTTTGTAGGTTGTCGAAGTCACGATTCAAATTAAAACATGCAAGTAGGATGAATTTTTATCGCACAATTAGTAGATCGGATTCAAAACTTTCTGGGCAGCCACGAATATTTTCGGTAATTTTCAGTACTGGGGTGTGAGGCTGCAGTATAATCCTCAAAGGCATAAATTTTATTAGCGATTCTTACGTTTGATTATGGCAAAACACACGAAAGCTATCTGCTTCAGAAAGGAAATACCTTCATGGAGCATTTTCTAATAGGAACTGGCTCGTAGTTGATTTTTATGTTTTCACCATGTAGTTACACTTGGTGAAAACATAAAAATCAACCATGCAAGTCAGCCCATTAGCACGGGATCGAATCCACGTCAAACTTCCAGCATTCAGAGGTCTAAACCATTTGGATACTGGTAGGGCGTTTCTTAACAGAAACTCTAACTCTGTATAACTAATCTAACAGCCCGTTTAACGAGACTATATGTCCTAAACAATAAGTTATCCCCTAATAACTACAGCTACAACTAAATGTTAAAGAAGGAGTAAAATTTATTTATCCATAACTTGTAGTTTACAAACTGAAGTTAGTGTCGAATCACAGAATTAAACAGCTGTCCCCTTGTAGGTTAAACTGAATATAAAATTATTGAAATGTTACGTCAACGTGACTAAGTCAAGCGCACGGAACTCCACTACGTCTTGTTACTAATTACAACAGGAACTCAGCTTGTTCCACACTCGGCCACGCAGGTGAAATCGAATACATGATCATTGCTTTATTAAACAGCAATTCGGTCAAATATTCATCTAAGCTACATGCCGAAGGGTATTGATCATTACAATGAACTGGTTGGGACAGCTCGAAATCCGATGCCAAAAGTATCCGAAAATTAATCTGCAAGAATGCAATTTTATTAATTTTCATATTATTATTAACCTTTGAAGTTGGTTTGTTTTCGAACATCAAAACCGATCAGAACGTTCGTAGCCTTTTCCAACAGTACGAATCCCGCTTTTTCCTTCTGACCACTTCTCCATAACAAATCATGGAAAAGAGGGAAGCAGGCTCTCGCGAAGAGAATAGCAAGCAAGTGCTCACAGCAATACGGTTAAACGCGAGTATCTCTATACTCATTCTTAACCTGTTTTTAATATAAATTACTTTACGTTGTGTTCTATAGTAGAGGCTTTTAAACCATGCATACTAAAACAGAATAGATTGGACATAGTCAGACTTAGAAATAACAAGTTAAGACTTTTTTAATCTGAAATGACAGTCGCCCTTTAATCTAATTGGTAAGAAATATCCGATTCTGATTTCATCTGAACAATGCTACCAAGTTGTATACACCATCGCTACTCCATCAACAACAAATATAGATTCAAAACCATGTAAAAGTACGGTTAATAAGAAGCCCATTCTTACAATATGAAATGGATGTTTTCAAAGAAAGAGTTACCAGGAGGCAGAGAAGATACCTCCAGTTGATTTCTCAGATGCTTTTACTATTCTCCTTGATACGCATGACATATAATTAAATAAATATCACCTGGATACTGTAAAGATGGCTGATGAGATTTCACGTGTTTCGAAGGATAAAAATGTCACTTTTATTATTCCTAATACACATATTTTATCCTTTTTTAAG